GTGAGCCGACAAGGCATCAAAGAGCTGGAGAACACCTTTATCTATACACTGTGCTGACTGACTGTAATTCTCATCCACACTGTTGAACAACCACCCACCACTCAGACAGATTGTATTTTTTACCACTGAATGAAGAGCTGGAATGTGAGCATGGCGCATTCGAAGCATTTTGTCTTATGATAGCAGTTTAGCTCTGCATTGCCTATTACTTGTGCGTATTTAAATGAGGATTTGTATGACCTTTGCTCCATCTACTGTATAGACATTATGTGCACATGCAAAGTAGGCCAAAGGCAGTGCTCAGCAGCAGCACATTTACTGGATGACATTCAGAGTACATGCCCTTTCTGCCCATGGACACATGCTGTGTTACTGATGAGTCAAAGTGAACTCATCACAAACAGTTATTCCAGCTTTTCTGCTGCATTTCTGCTGTTAATACTTATATATAACCATGAATAAATGGTAAGTAGATTTGTAATAACAAAAATATAACAATGATAATTTACTTAACTAAAACTTTAGTTGATTCTCTCAATACACCAAGCCCACCATTACGAACTGCAACTATAGATTATTTTGATTAGCAATAAATCAGTTTTTTCATAATTTGGTCTATAGAAAATATTAAAAAAATAAAAATATGTCCATACAAGGTTTGAAATTATTAGGTGAAGTCTTTAAAGGGGTAATTATTATGATCATTTTCAGGTTCATATTAGTATGTAGTGTCTCTACCGTGACATGTCTCCATGCTTTAATGTTAAAAAAACCTCTTTATTTTTCTCATACTGCCTGTGCTTCAGCACCTCTTTTCACCCTCTGTCTGAAACCAGAGCCCAGTCTGCTCTGATTGGTTAGCTGGCCGGCTCTGTTGTGGTTGGTCAACTGCTTAGAGTGGTCTCTGGTTTCAGACAGAGGGTGAAAAGAGGTGCTGCAGCAGTATGAGAAAAATAAAGAGCTTTTTGAACATTAAAGCATGGAGACATGTCCCAGTAGAGACACTAAATACTAATATGAACCTGAAAATGAGCAGAATATGTCCTCTTTAATACTTATTAAATAACTAGTTGTGATGTAACAAAGTCATATGTATATGTCAATGTTTTAAACTTCTTATATAAGACAAATGTCCTACTTTAAAAAAATGTAAAATCAGCCTTCTAGTGTCAAACTGTAGCTCTAAGCTTTTTGAGTAAACCACACTTTTGACTGAAAGTGTTCTTTGAAGTAAAAAAGCATATGTCAATATACATGTCAGTAAATAGCTGTTTCTGCATTCACAACACAACTTTGATTCAGCCAACATTAAGGCATCAAAGCTGAAAGTTGCTGTTGTAAAATCCTCTTGCAACAGGAAGTGACATTTCATTGCCTGAGGCAATTAGCAGGCTGTTGTCAGATATAAAGGAGGAACTGCTAAGTAACAATGAGCAACAGCACTTATAACTGAAGAGGTAAAGTGTGCACACACTGAATTCTGAGATAAAATATTTTCTAAAACTGACAAATGCTTTTAGAGCAATTCTTTTAGAGCTTAAGCTGTCAAAACAACACTTCATGAGGGTGCAGATGGCAGATTAAATATTAACACTGATCTGTCTGACACACATGGAGAAGTGAGGGCAGGGTACAAGGACACACAAGCACACAGTAAAGAGACAAATCACTCTTTATACTGTATACACCAAATGCTCTGTCTTTACAAGTCAGGTAATCCATCAGGGAACTCACTGGTTGCCAAACTTTCCACATTCAAGGTTTAAGAAAGTATTTCAGTTAGGGTTTAAATAATTTACGTGACATCACTTAAAATAAACTCCACATTGCATTTCCGACCTGACACTTACGGTGGTCTCCTGAATTAAAGTCTGTTGTTTGTTTGACCAACCCGCCCACACTGAAGTTGCTCTGAGCGTCTACTTTTGACGCAGAGTGGTTAACATTGTAGTTATACTATACCATCTTTTGCTAAATAACAATAAATATATATGGTGGGTAACATATCCTCATTTTAACAGAGGTGGGAAGTAGTGGAGTACAAATACTTCGTTACTGTACTTACAGTAAGTATTTTGTCTGGTATCAGTACTTTACTCCACTACTTATTTTTCTGACGACTTTTTACTTTTACTTCTTACATGTTGAACACAAATACCTGTACTTTCTACTTCTAACATTTTCAAAACAGCTTGTTACTTTAGTTTGAATCTGTGTTTGGTGGCGTGATCATTATTATTTAGAGTCATTGCGTGCCTATTGATTTGAACACGATCCGTGTATCCATCACTTCCTGGTCTTCTCTAAAGAAGAGGGACCAATGAAAACGTTGTCATGTTGCCGTTGTTCAGCATGGAAACATTCATTAGCTAACAATGACATTATTGTTCTATTAATATAAAGGGAGGTCAGGTACTCTTTAAAACAGCTGGTAGTTATGGGTACTTTTTACTTAACATTTCAAAGCCCATACTTCTTTACTTTTACTTGAGTAAAGAAGTTTAGTCAGTACTTCTACTTTTACCAGAGTACACGGACGTGTAATTAGCTAAAGCTTTGTTGTTTATTGATATCAGACAATGATACTACAGATTATTCAATTATTAATTAAATATTTCGTTTTGTTATTGCATTCATTTGTATAGTACTGTATCATGTCTGTATCACCTTTTGTTTCATTTGTATTTGCTTTGGTTTTACACGCTCGAAAAAAATAAATAAACTAAACTAAACTAAACTACCAGAGTATTTTTGAACACGAGTATCTTTACTTCTATTTGAGTAAAGGATGTGTGTACTTTTGGCATCTCTGCATTTAAATGTCTAAAATGTACTATACCTATGTTGTTGAGTTATGTATACAAAATGTTTGTAATTATAAATAAACATAAAATAATGTGTAATGTGTTTTAGCGTTTCATTGGGCATGGCTATCTTGTGATTCCCAGGTCGCTACCACAGTGTTGTCTGGTTTTGTTGTTATGGAGGTTTCTAAGAACTTGAGCCCTTTAACATTGTTTTTTTTCAGTTTATGAAAGTTAATGTAACATTTCGGTAGCCTTACAACAAGTCTTGTTCAGCATTCGGTTGTACTTAGATTAACTCATTGTTTCACTTCTGGTTTCATGGAACCAAGATGGCGACGGCCAAAAACCCAAAATGGCGACTGCAATTAGATAAAACTTGAGGCTTTAAAAGAGCAGTCTGCAAAACATTGGGTGACGTCACGTTGACAAATGTAACTTCTTCTTTTGTACAGCCTATGATTACAAACTGAAAAATAGAGGCCTCTATTATATCTGTAATAGTGAATGAATATGTTTTACACCAATTCATATAGTTGTTGATATATTTCACTATGAACCACATATATGATGTCAACTTAAGGATTGTGCCAGTGGAAAAGTCTGTGCTTTACATATTCTTCCAGGGACAATGAATGTCTGTTAATTCCATACCGATCCAGGCAATTTTTGTTGAAATATTTCAGATTTAGACTTTTTACGTCGTTAGCAAGGCTTAAAATCAAACACAGAGAACAAAACTTCTCCTGACTAAAAGCACTAAAAGTATTTGAGTGTATATATATGATTCTGTAGCCTTGAAGCTGGTTAAATTGAGTGTGTGTTCAGCCAGCTGTGCAGCCATGGTGAAATATCCTCATTCAATACGAGCGTGGGTTTACCTGAGCTTAATGGAGCCCGTGTGTGCTGGGTTGTAGCTACGGGATCTATCAGTCAATACACAAACTGCATGCATATGTATTTTTCAGATCTGCACTGGTAACTTGCACATCAAAGCCTCCACACGGCAACATTATTCATTTTGACTCATAAAATTCAACAGTGAGCATATTTTGTGGGAGATAGGCCTGTGAGAGATAGGGGGAAATATTACTATGATGCAATATCCCACCTAAAATGGAATCAGCTCAGGGTCATTGAATAATGAATACAAGAGAAGACTGATGCTCTCATTTGTTAGTGGTGAGAAGTGTTTATAAGTGTTTATAAGTGGCCACTAAAAAGACACTTATGAATATGCTTCTACTGGCATGTCAATGTGCAGGAAGTATCACTGAAGTTTTATTAGGTTCCTCGGAATTATAATATTAGGGAATTATAAACCAATGCTTCAGTTGTTTCACTGCATGAAATCCTCGTTAGACAGTTCCTCCCTCTCGACTGAAGCAGATTTAATGATACTTACTTAAATAAGTAGGGATCACAGCTTTATTATCCCCCGAGTCTCATTTCACAGTTCTTACTCTCTCCCGCTGACACACAAGACAGTTTTCACTTGCACTCATTGTGTCACTGTTCCTCTCAGAAACATTCGAAAAGCCCTCAGAGAGTATACAAACAATGTGGAGGATGGAGACCATGCACTTATGAGTGCAATATTAAAGCAGAAGTTGCAACTGATGTACTCACTTCCATATTAGTGTTAGGGTTTACATGAGTGCGGGAAGTAATACAAGCTTTTATATTTACACTAGTCATGTTTCATATCCTGTAAACTCCCCCCTGTTTTATAACTTTAGACATTCACAGTGTTGCAGTTCAATGTATGATTCATAGTCAAGTTTATGCTTCAATGTATACAAACAATAGCTACTTTAAAGGTTAAGGATTATATATATTGACAATTAAATAATTCCTACAAATATATTTAACCTAAAAAAAAGAATGACAGTGTTTTAAAAGTTGGGTATTTTGAACAGTGTTTTCCTAAAGTTTTCTAGCTGTTTATTTTTTAAAGCAAAACAGAGACAAACAGCTTGAGGAATTGTAATCATTTTGCTGTTTTTAATACCATAATCACAACAATAATTGCTCGGGAGGATTTGTCCATTTTGAAATAATTAGAAAAACTGAGCCCTACCTCATCCCAGATATGATGCTGAAAGGATTAGTAGATAATGTAACGTCAAGATGGATAGAATTTGTTTTTCTTGGAAAGTTCAGGTGTAAGAAGGAAAATGTGAGGGATTAACTCACCAGAAGTCTGTGTCCATCAATTCTCAGTCTGTTCACGGTGCCAGCACACTCTGCCATACTGTTCTGAGGGCATTAAACACATATTGATTAACTTTCCAGAACATTTCCACTTAACTACACAGATTAACTGAATTTAATTCCCAGACGATTAGTGTAATTCAACAGCTATACTAAACTTTAAAATCATGAGAAAATAGGCCCATTAGCATCCATTGGTTTCCTGATATTTATTCTCCATTTTCTTCCTGTACTCACCTGGCCCAAAAAGAAGGCTACTTGTGCCGGGTCCCACCCCTCACACTCCTCTCTGGACGGCAGGTTCATTTTTGTCTCAACAGGGAGCTTCTTAGCAGGAACGTGCTTCTGTAAGTACGGTAACAGACTGACCCTGTCACGCATCCGCAGCTCAAACAAACAGCCAGCTTTGACAGGGAGAAGTACACAAAGGGAGGTCACCTCATTAAAACCAACACATACTCTGTATTTCCCTCTTTTTCATCCAAAGGTAATGTGGCAATCCATGGTTTTCTCAAACTCATCTAAATGTGTTACACAAATTGCAGTGAGGCATTCACAAAAGGGAACTGGTTACTTCCTTAAAGGCCTATAAAAAAACCTTGACAAACCAAGATGTCATAATAAAGTGTGATTTGACTTTCAACTTCCAGCCCACACTTTATTTACAGTTGAGTTCAAACCACAGTTATTGTAGAGTTATTTCCAATTCAAGGTGTAATCTTATTCAAGGTGCCAGACTTCAGTGGGTGTAAGTACCGCTAAAGTTATAAAAGGTGCACTTCTTATAATAAAAGTCATGTGCAGAGATTGCGTTTAATCAATTTTAGAAAATGTTCTGTAAGACAGGATATGTGGTGTTTTTCTTTTCTTGGCTAGCATCTCTGATACCAGGAACAGGACTGTGGTCAGGTGAAATAGAGATCTGAAAAATATATGGGTCATATTAATAAACGTTGTACTCTCAATTATAAAGGCTATTTACAAATGAGCACTACCGCCAAATTTGAGAACAAAAATAAATGTTTTGGATGTAGCCTATACCAGTTCATCTTTATGTACATTTAGCGGAAATACTGCAGTATCTTTTAAAATGTATTTAAAAAGCAAATGTTCTTTAGGTTAACATTCACTTAGCTAATCAGTATAGTGCCCCATAAAAAAACTAGGGCATCTCCATCATAGCTCAAACCTTTTGGGCCTTTGGGGGCCAAACTGTGAACACAAAACCTTGATTTGGCTAACAGTTAGCTTGAGGAGGCACGGAGAAACTGCTAGCCTAGCTCTGCCCAAAAAAACAATGTGTCATTTTAACACTTACTGAATTTAGTAAAGATTAAACAAACAAAGTATAATGAGTGAGCTTTTTAAGTACTAGTTTGGTGTATTTATGTAGATATTGTCAGCTTTGGTATGCCAGTATTTGTTCTATGCTAAACAGTTGCTGTTGTAAGCTACATACAATTAACGATTCTGTACAGACTATGGAGCAGAAGCCATAAAGGGATAAGCTTACCTCTAACTTCATCAACAGCACCCAGCCACTTCTAATGTTAAACAGTTACACTTTTCTATTCAAATAATATACTTTGTAGGCCTACTTATAAAAAAGATACAATGTGTTTATAAGTAAGCTTTTGAGATGCTGGGAGTCGTTATGCTAAGCTACGCACCTCATAAGCTCATCCTTAATTCTCAGCAAAAAATAATACTTATCATATATATTATGTTTTTGGGATTTCTTGCCAAGAGTTAGGTGAGAAATACATAAAAAGTAGTATGATCTTCTTATCTATGGAGCTCACAGAAAGAACATTTAACAAATGTGATTATTCGGTTTCAAAACAGGATATGAAGATGATGAACAGGAGCCTTTATGATCTAAAACAGGGTTTGTGTAAATCTTTTTATTTTTATTTTAAACTACAGAAGTGTCCCTTTTCTAGATGGAAGATTTTAATTACTTTATTTTCTACCTTTTCCAATTATTTCCAGTAATAGTGATAGTAAAAGTGTGGACACATTAGATCCTCACATTACCCAACAGCAAATTGAATCCTCCGAAGATAATGAATACAACTTTAAAAACACAGCCACACACTTCCTTAACACATGCAAATTAACAAAGAAGTAGATCCCATAGAACCCCATTAGGGCCTACTACTTTGTTTAGTTTCAGGGTATGTCTTTAGTTCAGCCTTTTACTTTGTTAGGAAACATTTTATGGAAGCAAATAAGAGACAGAATTATTTGAATTTTATCAGACACCGAATTTATAGCATTGAAAAGGTTTACTTTGAAAATCATGTATCTGAATTTTTTTGGTTCCGAATTTACCTACAGTATGTGAAATAAAAATCTGAAATATCTTGATACGCAATTTCAAAAGCTGAATTTCAATGTATTTGTTTCAGTGTTCACAAATTCAGATCTAACAATTAAAGTAAAACAAAATTGAATGGTCAAATACAGATCCCAAAATTCAAGTTAAAAAAATGTGAATGGTCAAATTCGGTGCTTAAAATTCAAATTCTAAGTCATGTGATCAAAACAACCCGGGAGAAAGATGAAGGAGAACAGCGGGGCTCCGGTAAGTAGTCAGTTTGTGCAGTTTATTTTACAAGCAGTGAGGGCTCGACAGCATGCCGTGTCCTTTTGTGTGTGTGTGTGGGGGGAGCTCTCTCTCAAAAGGACACGGTAACGTTGCGATTCACGATAATGATAACTACGTAGCTTGCTGACAGCAAGGCATAAGGCTACATCACTCATTTAGCTAGCTAATGTAAGATACAAATGCTATCGAGCCCTCACTGCTTGTAAAATAAACTGCACAAACTGACTCCTTACCGGAGCCCCGCTGTTCTCCGTCATCTTTCTTCAAATCACATTTGTTTAGTGAAATTATTAGAGGATCTTCCCTGAAAGATTGTAAAATGTCAATGAAGATGTCAGACTTAGTATATTTGTTAACAATTACATACAATACATGGAATTTGTGTGTGTGTGGGTTCCAAGTGAATCTGCGGCCCCCTGGCCAGTACATACATTATGTGGCCCCCACCACCATCCAAGTTGCCCATCCCTGCTCTAAATGCACATTTATTCAGATGCGGGGTCACCGTCCTGTCTCCAAGGAGACAAAGTCTTGGCGAAGTGGGAATATCACATTTCAACCATTTCCCCATAGAGTCCAGAACACTCCTCCACAAGGGACAAACCTTTGAACATTCCCAAAATGCATGCATATACGTGCCACGTTCTTCCCCACATTTCCAACATAAATCATCCTTAATCAGGCCCATTCTGTGTAGTCTTGACGGAGTATAATAATATCTTTGAATTATTTTATACTGAATGAATTTTCCTCTAGCTTCCCTTATGTATTTTTCAGAGTTAGATATAATTTCCTCCCATGTTTTTTCGTCAATTGTAAGTGACAGGTCCTTTTCCCATACACGTTTGAGATTACCACAGCCATTGTCGTTTATCCAGGGACACATCCCGTACCACCTAGATGCTCTTTGAAGCATTGTTGGCAGTTGTAGGTAACACTCTATTGTATTATCATCCCTATTAATGAAACTCCTCCCCCCCATACAATGTCTAATCTGTAAATATTTCCAAAAGTGGCCTCGTCTCTCCAAATTAAACTTTTCCTTCAGTCTGTCATAAGAAATAAAAATGTTCGCTTCAAATAAATCATCCAATATCCTTCCTGATACCTTTTTTAAGACACTGTGCCCAGTAAATGGGTTGATTGGGTCAATTTTTAATTTAGGATTGTGCCATAAGCAGTGTTGGGTGTAACGCGTTACAAAAGTAACGGAGTTACAGTAATGTATTACTTTTTGCTGTAACGAAGTAATGTAACGCATTACTAATTACATTTGGGTAATATACTACCCGTTACAATTCTCAGTAACGCAGTTACAACTAATTTTAACCCGAAATTAAATGGTGTTTTGTTTTTTAAGAATTCACTAACATCGCGAGACATTCCGACACCTGAGAAAAATTGTGCCGGTAGATTAGTAAACCTGGTGTTTACGTAATCAGTCAGGCTGATCTTGATGAGCCTGAAGGGTGTTCTTTTCCCTATAATGACCAAGTCGCTGCACATTATCCCGCTTATTACATGGCCAGATACTAAACAAACTAAGGAATCGACTCCCAATATTAATTGAAATGATTTTATTGACTTAAAATGATCGTATTTCTTCCGCTAAGAAAAAAAAAACTCCGTTCCATGGCGCACCAACGGCTGGAACTGCGACAACAACAACTTTACGGCAGCACTGTCCAACTCTGTTCAAAGTTTCTGATCCACTGACAAGTCCTTAAACACTGCAGAGCCCATACCGTGTTCCTGTTAGCGTTTACTTCTTGTCTGTCTTCTTCTGTTCATTTATCTGACGTCCAGCGCTCCGTCTTTTACCCATTTACTTTCTCTTTCTTGATCCTCCTTAGCAACGGAATTGACCAATCAGAATTGAGTATTCAACTAAGCCTTGTAATAAAAGTTGTTAGTAGCCTTAAAGGTGGGGTAGGTAAGTTTGAGAAACCGGCTCGAGATACACTTTTTGTTATATTCCATGGAATGCTCTTAACATCCCGATAGCAATGAATATCTTAAGTGCTTTGACAAAAAATCCATAACAAAATGTCATCTGTGGAAGCCGTAGTACTGTAAAAAGCACGACCAATCATTTTAGCCGGCCGGCTAAAATAACTGGATGGCCTACTTGCCTGTCAGCCTTCCATCTGTGCACAAACTTATCTCGTGCCCTCATTGGTCATGTGCGCGTTCGTGTGTGTTGGAGGAGGAGCTCTGTAAGGAAGTGGCAGATTTTTTCCGGTTGTGTATTTTCAAATTCTAGCGCACTCAAGCTGGTTTCTCCAAAATTACCTACCCCACCTTTAAGGATCTGCACAGTTGCTGCACTAAACTACATTTTAGCATTTAAAATACCTAGCCATTATTTTGCGGTTATTTTGGTGAAAGTAACTCAAAAGTAGTGTAACTCATTACATTTCAGAGACAGTAATATTGTAATGTAACTTATTACTTAAAAAAGACAGTAATATGTAATGTATTACATTTTGGAAGTAACTTGCCCAACACTGACCATAAGGGTGCATATCTTTCAGTATTGTGGGAAATTTTACATTTTTTATGTACTTCTCGTCAAACTGCTTTTGAGTGTACCAGAATAGGATTCATCACATTATTAATAGGTTTAAAAGGGGAGGTTAGTTCCTGCTCAATCAGGACCCAGTCCAGATCAGTATTTATACCCTTCCAATGTTTCACAAGCTTTGACATTTCAAAAGAAATACTACAATACTTTATAGTGGGCAATGATAATCCTCCTCTATTTTTTGGCTGACATAATTTGTCCATATTAATTCTAGGTTTTCTCCCATCCCAGAGAAAATGCTT